TCACTTAACACATTTTACTTAAAATGTTTTGTTCTTGTTTCTAAAACACGTTACTTAACACATGTTACTTAAAATGTTTTGTTCTTGTTTTTAAAACACGTCACTTAACACACGTTACTTAAAAATGTTTTGTTCTTGTTTCTAAAAACACGTTACTTAACACATATTACTTAAAATGTTTTGTTCTTGTTTTTAAAACACGTACGTTACTTAACACATTTTACTTAAAAATGTTTTGTTCTTGTTTTTAAAACACGTCACTTAACACATGTTACTTAAAATGTTTTGTTCTTGTTTCTAAAACACGTCACTTAACACATGTTACTTAAAATGTTTTGTTCTTGTTTTTAAAACACGTCACTTAACACATGTTACTTAAAATGTTTTGTTTTTGTTTTTAAAACACATCACTTAACACATGGAACAAAACATTTTAAGTAAGAACAAAACATTTTAAGTAACATGTGTTAAGTGACGTGTTTTAGAAACAACGTGTTTTAGAAACAATCACTTAACACATTTTACTTAAAATGTTTTGTTCTTGTTTCTAAAACACGTTACTTAACACATGTTACTTAAAATGTTTTGTTCTTGTTTTTAAAACACGTCACTTAACACACGTTACTTAAAAATGTTTTGTTCTTGTTTCTAAAAACACGTTACTTAACACATATTACTTAAAATGTTTTGTTCTTGTTTTTAAAACACGTAGCTGGTTGCCTTTTATTAACTTTAATATTCTTTCTTTTTTTAAATACTTGAACTACACAGTACCTAGTAGTTAAAATCAAAAGAGTATAATATTTCTTGTGAATAGAGTGATCAGACAAACAATGAAAGTAGACAGCAATGTTTATTTCAAAAGCACATCATCATAAGTCAGTCTATTAATTTCTGTACGAACTTCGAGACAACAACCCCGTTTAAAATTTCTTTAAGTACAATAAGCTTCCTATTTTACACACATCTAACGCTTCGGTTTGTTTTGTTTCTAATAATCTTAAACTTTACAGAGCCAAGAAGAAATGCGATACGTCTTTATCTAAGTAGGTCCGAATTTTCAACTGTAACCATTTTGTCGAGTGGTGGAGAAGTCCTGCAAACAAAATCATGTTTTATATATTAAACCAGCCAACGATCGGGAGAATCATTAAGAGATGCTACGAATTAGTTGTTATATTCAGAAAGCGAAAGACACTTAAGCCATTATTTGCTTTCTTCATTATATATACATGTATATACACTTGGCTCAAGATGTAAAGTTATTTATATAAAGAACAAAAATGTAAATTTCTCAACAAGAAAATAATAACGTACGGCTGAAGGTTGTTCTTTATTCATCGACTCCAACTTTAGTCCTAGGGCGGCTTGGTCTCATAACAGGCTGGCGGGAAAAACAACGGGATAAAATGGTTAAAACAACGTTTTCTAGAAATAACACAATAAAACAAGTCAGGTGATGACTTTCACACTATATAAATACTATATGTAGTAAACGAGGTTTGTTTGAATATAATTAACTTTTAACAACTCGTTTCTAAAACACCGTGTGTGTGTTTTTTTCTCTATGGATTATTAAAAGGTCGTGGTTAACTTACTCCCGGACTAGCTGAAGCTGAACTACGGTTAACATTTCTACGGGTTATTAAAAGGTCGTGATTAACTTACTCCCCGACCAGCTGAAGCTGAACTACGGTTAACATTTCTATGGGTTATTAAAAGGTCGTGATTAACTTACTCCCCGACCAGCTGAAGCTGAACTACGGTTAACATTTCTATGGGTTATTAAGAAGTTATGGTTAACTTACTCCCGGACT